CACGGTGACAAAGCTGCAAAAAAGTGATTAGAGGTCGGGTCATTCAACGTGACCTGGGCCTTGTTTCATAAAGCGAGTCCGTAACTTACGCCGGTTTTTGGTCTTGTATTGCAAGTGCATGTGAAGCGATAAATTTATTTCCCCTTCTCCCTTCTGTTCTTGCTTGCAAGATAAATAAATTCAGCGAATCAAACTAACGTCATCGCTTCACATGCACTTGCAATACAAGACCAAAAACCGCCGTAATTTACGAACTCGCCGTATGAAACGAGGCCCAGGTGACCTGACCTTGAAGGTTAAGAGGTTCTAATTTGAACACCATTGATGTCATTGATGTGGAAATAGCTGTGTCAAAATTTCGCTTCCGCTATTTACGAGAAACCTCAGAGAGGGGCCGATAACGCCCCCCCCCCCGTCGGTGTGCAGGCTAATGCGTTATCCATAAAATTAGCCGTCTGAATAATCACTGCTATTTAAGCTATATGAATGGATAAGATAACACCTTTGTCATCTTTGGATTAATTTGAGAAATAATAGCATCGAATTTAACGTAATCGAAACATAGCTATAGCTTTTATCATTGATGCGCAATGACATCTTTACCGAGCACTCCAATTCACAAGCAAATACAAATACAAGTATTAAATATTGGATGCTGAAGTTCTTACCGTCTGATGGTGTCCACCGAGCAGTTGAGATGGAGCTCCGCCTTGATCTGGTTAGCTGTGATTATCGGCTGCCTCGTAACAAGCTCCAGAATCGCTTGTTCTTGAGCCTCATTCACAACACGAGGGTGACTTCCTCCATGCCGGTCGAGAAGGTTCCCATCTTCGTTGTGGCGAATGCCACCAAACAGCAACTGTTGCCCTGTTACGGCCCAACTCGCGAGCTACGGCAGCAATAGACATATTCCGCCGTTCTATCATCTGTATAGCCAGCATCCGCTCGCCCATATCGGCACGGACACCGACACGACCACGTCTGTTCTCCATGGCGGCAACGAGGACGAATAGGTGGCATTCCAGAGCCGCCAACGCACCATGAATGGGCTCCTTGACCAAATGCGTCACTCAAGGGGCTTGCAAGGGCGATACCAAGAGCGGTACAAAGGGCGAATCTAGTTAAACATCCTAATAATGGATGCCTATTATCTCCTAAATGGTAAATGGTTTCTGTTCTCTTTCTCTCTCTCTCTCTCTCTCTCTCTCTCTCTCTCTCTCTCTCTCTCTCTCTCTCTCTCTCTCTCTCTCTCTCTCTCTCTCTCTCTCTCTCTCTCTCTCTCTCTCTCTCTCTCTCTCTCTCTTTCTCTCTCTCTCTCTCCCTTTGCCAATACTATTCACTGGCGCAGCATTGTAAGACTCGTTTCCAGGCAGGTCCAGGCGCTCCCCAACCCGCCGACCCCAGTCCGCACGGCCAAACCGCCCAAACACCCTTCGGCGGATGACCTCTGACCTCGGCGACCTGACCCCAGCCGACCGATCGCGTCCCTTGTCACTCCTCCGCCCCGCTTCCCCCACTACGGCTGCGTAGTATTTGTAACGTGCGCAACGGTCACGTGGCATTATTTACCTCGGTGGTTTGTTCGGCTGACAAGAGGTGGCAGTAGTTGTCTGAGGATCAGAGGCGAGGCTAGGTTCTACGACTTCTTGGGGCATACTTTAGGGCGAAAAGGGGGTTTTTCGGCTTTCCATCCCAAAATGTTGGGAATATCTTGAAACAAGGTAGATATTCGAAAATCGGACGGCCTAACGGATCATTTGATACATCTTAAGCGGCTGAGAACGGATCGGCCTTCCAACCAGTGACCGAAAACGAGGTGATTAGTAGCAAGTGCTGGTGACTGTACAGTTGCTCTTACGGTTGCTCTTATCAATCGCTGGAAGTTTCAAAGCGATCTTTCACTCGGTGTAGCTATGACAGACATCGAAACTTTTTATGAGGTGAGGTCACTTCACGTGATCTGTCGACCTGACCTTGAGTGACCTCGGTCTGAAATTTACACATGTGCAAAAAAGATGCATGATCAAATTTGCCAGAAATATCAGAAATGCCAGAAATAACTCGCGCGCCAGCAGGGCGCGGGTTAAACTTATCCTGTACCGAGTTTTTTTCGGGGTGGGTTGGGGTAATCGGTGCATCCTAAACCTCAGTATGGAGTTTTGAATGGGCTCGGAAAGTGGCCGGTTTTGGCCCCTCCCTTTGAAAATGGCTGGATCCGCCCCTGCATGTGTTTCATAGTGTTTGGTTTTTGAATATGTTAGTTCTTTCAGATAAATATTACTTGCCCTACAACCTTTGTAAAAACGTTTCATTTTTCATAAGCCGACCGCCAGAGTCCTAAAAATACATCAGCACTACAATCATTGTAAACAAACAAATGGAGCACCACTTGGCTCTGTTCCAAGGCCCTTTTCAAATGGCCTTGCTTTTCAAGTTTATCTGGTGGTTTCCTGTTGGACGTAAAAGCCAAGCTGCTACGCGCCCAAGGCTATATAAGATTGAGATTGACTTGACTAAGATTGACATTTATTATATTTAAGAAGCACGTTGACTGAAAACAATCCCAAGTATCCAGGAGGCTGACAGAGGTCCTGACCCTGAGCAATATCAATATCAAGTTGAACTTGAAGTTATGAAATTTTGTTTGATAAACGCAAGTTGATCGGGCTCACACATCAGCAAGAAAAAGTAAAATTAAAAGAGCTTATCATTATTGGCCGAAAACAAGCTATAATATTGCAGGAGAAATTGGATCAATACTGAAGAGCACGCTGAGCATGGTATCATGACAGAAACTGTTGACTGATGAGTGCATGTTGATGTATTGGTATGAATATTGAATGATAACTTACAACAGCAAGATAAGTTAGTGCTAACTATCAAGTGACAAATCTAGAATGAATGGACTCGGGCAGCTTTACTATGCTTAGATGCTATGCAGATGGTAACATTACCATGCACATGTGCATCAGGTACTCAGTGTCTGGCAAATGAAACATGCGATCATTCCATTGCTACTGGAGGAGAAAGCTTGGATCACTAAATCCACTTTATGTTGACTTTGATGTTCATCATTACTGTATTTCTTGAAAAAAAGGATTGTAGTAATATTGTCAATGTGACAATCCATGCAACAATGTGATCATATACACATCACACATGTAATGTGTTCATAGTCATTTGTGATAGTGATTGTTGGTCCAATATACAATGGCAAAGCTCTCAGCATTTCTTTCTGTGGATGGCCAGCTGTGACTCAGAACTTAGAAATATTAGTTTTCTTCACAGGGCTGGGATAAAAAGTACTGAGGGTAATCTTCCACCAAGGAACTTTACTTTGACATGGTATAGAGACGTAGGCACAAGTAGTAGGTGCTTGGAGTGAGTGAAACCTGGCTGAGTCCGTCTGTCGATGACAGTTTTCTCATATTCCCTGGGTATAAGGTGATACGACGCGACCGAGGTGGTGACCGAAGGGGAGGGGGAGTGTGCGTGCTGTACCGAGAGTCTCTGAGAGTGGAGGTGCTGACAGTTCCTAGCACCGGCTCGCCGCTGGAGTCACTCTGGCTGAGCTTGTGTAGCACTACTACAGTGGTAATAGGTATCATGTACAGACCGCCTAGCGCGCCCGTGACTGCTGTGTTAGATGACCTGCAGAGTAAGTTAGCGCATGTGTGCGGTACCGATAAACCCCTGTATGTGCTTGGCGATGTTAATTTCGATTGGCTGCGGCTGGCTGAGCTTGACGTCCGGCGATACTCTCAGGTATTAGAGGACGTAAACGTTAAGCAGCTAGTGTCGGTTCCGACACGCCCCGTGTCGGGGACGGCGCTCGACCACGTCATCGTCCGAGCATCAGACGCCGTTACGACAGCGACCGTCGTTCCATGCAGCTGGAGCGACCACGACATCGTCATCGCCGAGACACCACTCACAAAGGAGCGCCGACGACCGGCCGAGATCACCGTGCGATCTACCCGATCTCTCGTGCCGGACTCGCTGTGTATGGAGCTGCTCCTGTCAGACTGGGACGCGGTGTACAGCGCGGCCGAGCCGGCGGCTAAGTGGCAGGCCTGGCTGGCGGTGTGGACGCCCGTGCTCGACCGTCACATGCCGGTCGTCACCATCAGGCCGCGGTACCCGCCCTGTCCCTGGCTAACCGATAATGAGGAGGTGCGTGCACTGATGCGGGAGAGGGACCTGGCCCGCGCAGCACAGCGGGACAACCCGACACCGGAGACGACGGGCGACTACAGGCGGTGCCGTAACGGCGTAAAGCAGGCTATCGGCCGCGCTAAAGCCAACTTCTTCGTCTCATCGTACCGCTACGCACGCAAAACGACATGGAAAGATATCCGCCGGTTTCTGATCGCGCCGAAGGGAGGACTGACGCCTACTGACGCGGCGGGGGTCGAGGCCGGCTGGGCCGACAGACTGAATGGATATTTCGCGTCTGTGGGGCCGAGAGTCGCGGCGGAGTAGAGGCGACCCAGCGCGACTCGAAGCCCCTCCCCCCGCGCCCGCCGCGCGTGGTGGCCGGTGCCTACCGGGTGAGACCAGCCACGCTGCCGGAACTCGCCGCGGCGCTGGGCAGGATGTCGTCGTCGAAGGCATGTGGAGAGGACGGAGTGACTATTGGCATGTTCGCATGACTTGGTCTGTGATCGCACCACATGTACTCGAGGTTGTAAACGCGTCACTTGTGTCGGGTGTACTACCGGGAGAATGGAAGCGTGCCACAGTTGTCCCCATCCATAAGTCCGGGAGCACTTCGGAACCTAACAACTACCGGCCTGTGTAGTGTGTCTATTCTTCCGGTGGTAGCAAAATTAGTAGAAAGTGTCGTCAGCTCCCAGCTATTGGAGTATTTGATAGCACACTCGGTTCTCACTGATGTTCAGCATGGTTTTCGGCCGGGGCGCAGCACAGGGTCAGCGATGCTGGACACGGTAGGATATCTCATGGACGGCATGGATAAGGGATATATAGGGTGCCTAGTGTAACGTAAACGAACATTGGCACCGTGATGTATAATTTGCGTTCAATTTTCAGTACAAATTTCATCCTGAAACATAATACAAAATTAAAAACACTGTACATATTCTCGCTTATAACAAACACTTTCGATCGAATACACGGCGTTTAGGTGGGCATACAATAGCAAACAAATCCGAATAAGGAAACTAGATACAAACATATATGAAACGTATAAATGGTACTTACTACGGTGCGCGTAGTCCTGGTCATAATCATGATAAATACAAATTACCAACTATCAAGATAAAAAGAAATCAAGGATAAACATAAATAAGATATGAGATCATGACATGTTCAAATTTCAAATTAACTATGCCTGGTTAAACGATTATTCAAATAAATCGCGTCCCGAATTTTAAGCATGATACAAAAAGACCACAGTACTTCCGCCGTACATATCGCCGTTGCCTTTCTGGCGATACACTCCCCGCCCCTATCTTGAGTCAGCTTCGATGAGGAGGACGAGCCGATGGACTGACCGTTTTATGATGATATCGGGTTGGCCGGTGTATGCGTTTCCGTCCGTCTGTGCTTTGTAGCGGAGGATTACGTCTCGAACGTTCCCATCGGTGCTTGGTTCGACATCGGTAACTTCAGCTAATTTCCATTTACCCCGTAGTGGCTTGTTTTCCTGTACAAGGACAATATCTCCTGGTCGAAGGTCGCAGTTCTTGTGGTGCCATTTCTGTCGTATCAACAACGATGCAAAATAATCCCGGTACCACCTTTTCCAAAAGGACGTAACGATTCGTTGAAGAAATAAAAATCTGTCGGCCAGCCTAGAAGTCTCAGCCCACTGTCCCTGTGGTGGCGCGATTTCTGTTCGTCCTAGAAGGAGGTCATTGGGTGATAGATAGACGCCCGCCGTGGGATCAGCCCCGGGTTTTCTGCCGATCGGTCGTTCGTTTAACAGGTTGGCAACTTCGAAAAGAACTGTTTGTAATTCGCCAAAAGTGAGAATGTTTTCTGCTATGACGATGTTCAAAGTGCGTTTCACTAGACGAATTAGCGCCTCGCTACAACCATTTTGCCACGGAGCGTCTGACGATTTTGTGAAATTCCATCGTAAACCTTGCGCGGAGCCTATGCTCGACAATTCATTCAGATCCCAACGACGGATCATATCTCGGAGTTCCTTTTTAGCGGCTGCTAACTGTGACCCCGCATCGGAATAAATTGTGGCCGGGTAGCCTCGCAGCGTAACGAAGCGGCGAAAGGTTTGCAAAAAATCTTCGGTACTATATCCCTCGGCGAGGTCTATGTACGTGGCTCTGGTCGATAAACAGGTGAACAATACGCCGTAGGCTTTGGCTTTCGTTCTGCGTTTCACGGTGTCTTTGATGAAGAACGGTCCGAATAGATCCAATGCTGTGTTGTAAAATGCCGGGGAGGGCTGAAGTCTTTCGGGTATGACTGGACCCATTATTTGGCTGTGGGTCTGTTTGAGCAACTTTCTGCATGTCACGCATTGTCGTTTGATCCGTTTTATCACCCTTCTGGCACCAGGCACCCAGAATTTGGTCTGTAGACGAGCTAGAGTGGACTCGACGCCTCCATGATCCCTATTATGTAACTTTTGAACGATTAAGTCGGTTAGGGGGTGCTTGACTGGCAAAAGTATGAAACTGTGCCGATTCCAATTGTCCCTCAACCACTTCGAAATGCGATTGCCGACTACCAGGATACCTTCGCTATCAATGCTGGGACCTAGTCTTCGGAAACGATTTTGCCAGTTGATGAGCAGCTGCCTTTGAGCATGTTTTATCCATAGTTTTTCAGCCTTTGCCAGAAGTGCAGCATTCAATGGCTGCCCAATGTTCTTAAAGGATCTGTCCTCAGCACTTCTTATCACTCGAGCTGTCACTCTGAGGAGCTTGTCAAAACTGCTAAAGTTGCTGATTTTGATGTCGTTGCATATATCAGGATCGGAAAGTGGCGTGACCGTCGTCATACCAACGACTATTCGATCCGGTAATTCGTTTTCGTATGGTTTCTGGCTGATGGGCCATGTTTCTTTTGGTCCTCTCAGGAATGAGGGTCCGTTTTGCCATGTGGTCTCTACCGCCAATTCTTCCGGTTTGGACGGTCTAGTTACCATATCCGCAGGGTTGTTGCAACTACTAATCCACCACCATTGGCAGGGGCTCGTTTTTTCTTGGATTTCGGCAATCCTTGTTGCTACGAAAGTTCCAAAGCCGTAGGATTCTTTCTGTATCTGTGACCTCACAATAATAGAATCAACAACGTAAACGACTGCGTTAAATCTGTAGGTCATTTCTTTTTGGATGGTTTCACCAAGTCGACACCCAACAATAGCAGCACAAAGCTCGAGTCTTGGGATACTTAGTTGGCGGATGGGAGTTAATTTGCTCTTTGCCGATATGAGGAAGGCCTTGTGTCTTTGCGCCTCCATTTGCCAATGGACATAGGCACACGCTCCGTATGCTTGCGAACTGGCGTCTGAAAAAATAATCAACGTTGGTTCTCCGATGGCCCCTGGCGGTCTTATACATCTAGGGAAGCGGAGATCTTCGATTTTGAACATGTCATTAAAGAATGCAATCCATTCGCTTCTACATTGAGTCGGCACGGGCTCGTCCCAGCTTGTTGATCCACTTTGCGACGAATGCTTTGTCACAAGCTGTCTCATCATTAATTTGCCCCTTAGAGTGAACGGTGCGATGAGACCCAAGGGGTCGTATATCGTTGCAACTTGTCTCAACAACAATTTCCTCGTCAACAACTCAGGTATCATGTGTTCAACGTTCTGCCTAGTTAAATTCGGTCCCGTCTCTAGTTTGCCTTGCTTTGGCGAGAAATTCAATTTGATTTCAAATAAGAAGTGATCGCTGTCTGGTTCCCATGTTACTCCCAGTATCTTCTCACGTTTAGTTTTCAGTAAAGTGACGTTTGTGTTTGCTGATTTAATTTGTCCAGACATGATCCAATGCTTAACTCTAAAATTTCCGAGAGCAAGCACGTTTTGAACGTCGGAGGCCAGAGAGAGGGCATCGTCTTCGCTCGGAACTGATTGCAGTAAATCATCCACGTAGCTATTTTCTTTTATCATTTCCGCTGCCTTTGGATAGGTATCCTTGTTCATATCAGCTATACTATGCAGTGCGACCATGGCAATGGTACCGCTCGGCCGATCTCCGAATGGCACCGCTGTAAGGGCGTAATGGCCAGGTTCCTGATCGGTTTGTAAATCACGCCAAAGATAGCGATGGACATGTTGGTCTCTTATCGATAACCGTATAGAATTATACATTTTGGAGATATCGGTTGTAACTGCTACGGCAAATTCCCTAAAACGAGTCAGGATTCCAAATAGACTATTAACAAAATCGGGACCTTTAGCCCAGTAGTCGTTTAATGCATGTCCCATGTATGAGGCCGATGAATTGAAGACGATGCGAACAGGTGTTGATGTAGAATTTGCCTTTAGTACCTCGTGATGGTGAATGTAATGGATTGGTCCATCGTATTGAAGCATCTCAACTTCTGATAACTTGCGAGATACCCCTCTGTTTAGCATATCCTCCATTTGATTTCGATAAGCCAGTTGTCGATTTTGATCTAATTTTCTGAGTCGAGATTCAGTCGATCGTAGCTTAGCCCTAGCTACTGCAACGTTGTTTGGAAGACATTCAGGATTTTTGATCCACGGATAATTAATGGTGAATGACTTGCTTTCGTCACTGTATACAAGACCGCCTTTTATCATTGCCAACTCCTTTTCCTCCTTTAAAGTGTAGCCGTTCATACCCATCGAGCATTTGCCACATCGGCATCCCCCGCATTTCGGACTGCAGCAGATTCCCAGGTTTTCAATCTTGAAGAAGTCTTCGAGGATGTTCTGCGTAGCTGAAACCGAATCGATTTGAATATTGTTCGTTCGTAGAAGCATTTGATTTGTACGTATTAATTCGTCTTGTTCGGTTCGCCTTCCGCTTGTCCCAGCAATTGAACCCCTTACACAATATCCGAACTGATTTTTTAGCAACTGGGTATTGCCAACCGTCTTCACAACATTTGGCATGATGACACAACAATCAACACCGACAAGGAGATCTACCTTGCCGGTTGGTCTGGAGATATCCGCAAGTTTCATTTCGGGAAAATATGATGCAATTTGCTTGTCGTCTATGTATTGAAGATCCGCTGTTATCTCGTCTATCCCATATGCGCAGATGTCCCACGCGTTGTTTTGCAAATCTATTAGAGAAATATTGTATTTCTTGCTATTTAGAACCGTGGGATAATTTCCAACTTTGATGAGAGACAATTCAATGTCAGTTCCAATCAGATTTAGCCGATCTGCTGCTGCATGTGTTATGAGCGAGATGTCCGCTCCGGAATCCCATAAAACGGTCAGTTTGCGATCGTTACACCGAACCGAACTTATCGCTAGTAAAGTTGAATGGTCCCTTGTCTGTGTATTGTGAATGGCCATGTGCTGTTCGGGTAGATTTTTTGAAACAGTTGTTCTGTGTAATAGCGAGTGATGCCTCTTCCCGCATGCTTGGCCAGAAACAATTATCTGACACCTTGTGCGTTGCAAACAGTCCTTCGCTATATGTCCTATCTGCAGGCAATTGAAGCAGGCTCCGACTTGGCGCATGCTGACTAATTTCTCCTCGTGTGTCATTTTACAGAAGCGATGGCATGAGGCGACGGTATGGTCTCCTGTCTTGTGAATCCAACATCGGAAATTTGATCCCGTGCGATGCATTTTGTTATAGTCCGGACGATTAGCGCCATAAACATTGGAGACTTGAGCAATATGTTCTAAACGATTCGTAACCTTTTCTATCTCGTCAAGAAATTGTCTTTGACTTAAGGTTTGGTTCTCTTCTGGAGAGCACATTTTCTCCATATGGTTCCTTTGTTCGTCGACAGATTCGGTCAGAGTACCGATGATAGTTTGATTTACATTTCGATTTTTGCCCAGCATTCGCACATCGTGTTCCATATATTCAATTACACGTTTTTCCTGAAGAATGTACTGTAAAAAATCTTCAAACATGTTCTTTGACACCCTGCCCTTTGAATCCACCCTCAAGATCCACTCTCGTTTTTGTGTAGGTGGTAACAATCGCTCTACCATGCTAATCATAGCAACTGTATCCATTTCCTCTGCAAGGTCCATTTTCTTCAAGTCTAGCCAACAACGTTCTATTGTATCGACCATGGCAATGAATTTTTTACTGTCTCCCTCAGGGACAGTTCTGAGGGATTTTAGTTCTTGGATAATTGCATCAACAAATTTTCTAGGATCACCGAAGGTCCTGTCTAAGCGATAAAACATCTCGTCAAAATTGTCTTCGACCCCCTTAACTGTTTCTAGTGCAGGACCGGTCAAACAAGAGCGCAGAGCATATGCGTCTTTTCCATACTGTTTTGTCATTAAACGATTGAAGTCTTGCCGAAAACTGGAGTATTCGCGAATGTTTCCCGAGAACCGAGGAGTATCTAGAGGCTTAACGTGTACTTCTGATCGTTTAGGAACATTTTCGGGCATGTGACGGGCATATGTAGCCCTGATAGAATCCAGCGTTGAATCGACCTCTTTCATAAAGGCATCACATTCGTCTAGTAGGGAATTCATCACTACGTGAGAAGCGGTTCTATTTATAACAGTGAGCAACCGATCGCTGATTTTGTCAATTTCCTTATGTGCTTCTCTGATATCCTCGAATTTTTCCTTCAAAACTAAAAGGTGTTCGTCATTACGACTTAACTCCATAAATGCATTGCATTTACGGGTAAACTTACGCCTTGTATTCGTTCGAAGCCGCTTGATCGTTTCGAGTGTTTCTTCCCCGTCTTGATTCATTTTCTTGATTTCGTTTTCTATTTTTTCCATATGCTAAATTTCCGTAAATGAGATTCTATGTATATCAAATTGTCTTGAGTTACGTTAACGCTCGTAGATGAAATGTAACGTAAACGAACATTGGCACCGTGATGTATAATTTGCGTTCAATTTTCAGTACAAATTTCATCCTGAAACATAATACAAAATTAAAAACACTGTACATATTCTCGCTTATAACAAACACTTTCGATCGAATACACGGCGTTTAGGTGGGCATACAATAGCAAACAAATCCGAATAAGGAAACTAGATACAAACATATATGAAACGTATAAATGGTACTTACTACGGTGCGCGTAGTCCTGGTCATAATCATGATAAATACAAATTACCAACTATCAAGATAAAAAGAAATCAAGGATAAACATAAATAAGATATGAGATCATGACATGTTCAAATTTCAAATTAACTATGCCTGGTTAAACGATTATTCAAATAAATCGCGTCCCGAATTTTAAGCATGATACAAAAAGACCACAGTACTTCCGCCGTACATATCGCCGTTGCCTTTCTGGCGATACACCTAGCAACAGCTGACCCATCAAAAGCTTTTGATAGTGTGCAACATTCCAGACTGCTAGAGAAACTTGCCTGGTATGGCATTCAGGACCACTGGTTCAGTAACTGGCTTGAAAATCGTTTTCAGAGGACTAGGGGAGGGGAAACACTGCTAGAAATCACTCATGGGGTAATCCAGGGATCATTAATCGGGCCAATCTTGTTTTTAATTTTTACAAACGATTTACCGTCATACCTTGAAGATAGCAAAATTGTAATGTACGCCGACGACGTGCAGTTTCTCCATCAGGGTCAACCGCGTCACATTTTGGATCTCCAGCAGAGAGTGGAACACACGGTCAACACAGCTCACCGATGGTTCACTGCAAACAGCCTAAAAATTAATCCTAAAAAACAGATCTGGTGTTAATTAAGTCCAAAAGGCGTCAACTGAACCATAACTTCACGATCAATTTCGGCAATGCCGAAATTCCTCTGTCACCCGCTGTCAAAGTTCTCGGTATGACACTGGACAGTAATCTGTCATTTGACGCTCAGGTGTCAACCGTTATTCGTCGCTGTTATGCTACCATGGGAGGTCTCGCAAAATTGGCGCGGTCTCTCCCGGAGGAGGTGAAGAAAATGATAATCGAATCTTTAGTTTTTCCCCATTTAGTTTATTGCATGTCAGTCTGGGCCGGATGTGGGACAACTCAGAGGCAGCGTATTCAAAAGGTTATCAACCACTGTGCGCAGATAGTGAAGGGTGTTCCGCGATCTGCCCATGTATCGGCGATACTGAGTGAATTGAGCTGGCCGAACGTGGATGTTTTGGTGGCTGAGCGTGACATGGCCATGATGCACAGCATACTGTATAACGACCAAGCGCCGGCCAGTCTGCGTGAGCGCGTTGTGTATCGCGACACTGTGTCAGTGCGAGACACGAGAGCGACCGATGCCGGTCAGCTGCAGTTGCCGCGAGTCCGCACCGAGCACGCTCGGAAGTTTTTCAACTCCCGAGCCGCGGCACAGTGGAACAGCGCGCCCGCAGAAATCAGGGAAGCTAGCACCGCCGCAAAGTGTCGCAGAATGGCTAGAGATCATTTTACTAGAACCGATTAGATGGTGAGCATGATATGTGATAGCGCTCTTTTAAAGGTGTATATATTTTTTAGAGTTTTTAATGTCGCTTTGTTTTAACTCGACCATATTTTAACTATACATAGTTCAATCGTCTGTGTTCCTGTGTACTGACGCAAAGACGTAAGAGCCGCGGTGAGTGGAAGTCTTTAAGAAATAAATGATCGTTCCTATAGTCAGTAGTTGTGTAGGTTTAGTTGGGATAGCTTAGATTGTTTTAATTTGGCAAGTGTCCATAAAAATGTGACCTGAGCAGTGCGCATACCTGACTAACCTGACAGCTGATCTAACCTCAATCATCACACATATTTGCAACCTACCCAAGACCTGCATAGCAGTAGCACCCAGTTATAGGTAGGTACTCACCCTAACTCAATCTTACCTGCTAACCTTTAACTTGCCAACAGTTAGCTCACCTTGCCAAGCTGCATCCAGGGAAACAGTCAACTGAGGAACTCATTGGGTGGCTGGTGTGAGTCTGTGCATTTAACCCGCGCCCGGCTGGGGGTCCTGGATTTCCACGCCCTGCTGGGGGGGGTGTTTGAACACCCCCCTTCTAACTCGGCTCCTGGGCCACGTAGCGATACGCGGAAGGCGGCGTTCGAAAGAGCGTCAAAAATAATGAGGAAATCAATTCGGTCAATTTTTTGGTCAGGTCAATGGTCAGGTCACCAGAGGTCATTGAAGGCAAAATTTCGCCGATTTCCAGGTCGAATGTCGACAATTTCCAAGAAGCCAACGCATAACTCGGGAACCAATAGAGCTACAGCGCCGCGGAAAAGCGCATTCGATAGCCCTATTAACGCCCTTTTCTCTCAGATTTGACCTAACGTCAACGGTTTTGCCTGCAGGGGGCAAAAACTGCAAAAATAGCCGATTTTTCGGAAACAGTTTTTCTGCAATAACTTTTGACCCAAGCATTGTACGAGCTTACTTTTACCGGACTCGTGTTCTTCTCGTCAAGACGCATCGAATGAACTATAACTTGACCTTGAAAGGTCAACTTGAAAATTTGACCTCAGGTCAAGGTCATAACCTGACCGGAAAGGGTCATGTTGCATATCAGTCGATCCGTATCGTCGAGCTGAACCCATCTAAGGCGTTTTCATCGCTCTAGCATGCCTCTATCAAAAGTTATTTGCGAAAAAACTGTTAGATACCTTTCGTGACCTAAGATGACCTCACGGCATAAACAGGGGTCACGAACACCATTTTCATCTTCAGTGTGTCTAAACCACTTAGAATTCAGTGTTTGGGAGTGTTTATAATGTCTTTCGTCCAAAAGAGGCGCATTTCAATTTTCTCCCATTGACTTATAATGGGGAGGTCGCAAAATTTACCTGACCTTAGGTCATCGATATCAAAATTCTGAGATATACATTTTGTACATGCTATTGGTCTTAGCAATCGCTGAAAGTTTCAAAGCGATCGGTCATTTGGTGTAGCTATGACAGACATTGAAACTTTTTATGAGGTGAGGTCACTTCAAGTGACCTGGTGACCTGACCTTGAATGAACTTGGTCTGAAATTTTTACAACATGTGTAGAATTGATGTATGATAAGTTGTACCAAAAACGGCGGCGCTCCGCGCCGCCGTTTTTGAGATGTTTGCGAAAAACCACAAGGGGGGGTGTTCAAACACCCCCCCAGCAGGGCGCGGGTTAAAGTGTTTCTTCTCTGAAGCTGCTCTGCACTGCTGTATGTCATGTTAGATGCTCAGAAAATGTGAGAAATGATAATTAAGCTATTTTAGTGCTTTGTTAATGCTTGAGACATGAACAAGTACAAATCCTGTAGGGTACAGCTATGAGGTAGGTGCTAGGTGAGTATGTTATGTGAATGTGCTGTTCCCTATTTGACTGTAGTAAGCATACAAACAAGCACAGGGTCACAGTTATATTCAATCTCCACATAAACATACAACAAAAACAGCCATATAGCCTCACTCCGAACACACCACAAATAACTTAAGCCTTTGCAGGCACAAAAATGCTTTGATTTACAGGACATGTATATGTTACAGGGAGTTTGAGAAATCCGTGAGTTTGCAAACTCCCTAGGGAGTTTGCAAACTCCCTGACCCATCAGTGAGTTTGCAAACTCACTAGGGAGTTTACAAATTCGCTAGGGAGTTTGCAAACTCACTGACCGGTCAGGGAGTTTGAGAAATTCCAGAGCGATTGGGCCAAATAAAAAGAAGTGTGCGGCATGTGGGTGTCATACGTGCCGTCCGTGATGTTAAAACAAAGGCGGCTAGTTGTAGGGCCTCGCACGCTGAAAAAAAACTTATAGATTATATGCACACCATTAATACCTTTTTCATTTTAACCCTCGCCGGCACAGGCCATTTTGAGTCCTTCGACGGCACAAGGGAGGGGGGGGGGGTACGACCCCCCCTCGCGTTTGGCCCCTGATGGAGCGAGAGCTTCTCGGAAAAAACGAGCGTGTTGCCCATCACGAGAGGAAGCCAATGATACCCTATTTTAAGGTCCTAGGTCATCGGTTGACCTTCCAGGTCAGGTCAATGACCCAAAAATCGGGAATATCGGGACCTGTTAGAAAGTCGTAAAGTGTGGCTGCTATGGGTTTTCCGGGGTGCTGATCACGAATATTGTGTTAGTTTTGATCACAGATGATGTCGTTAAGCGTTTAGACCAGTTCGGACCAGGTCAGGTCAGGTCAACCGGTAGGGGTCGTGACGGGTATTCGTAGTTCCTGTCATCCGCCTCTGACAGCTTCGTAACATGTTACGAAGGTACCAAAACTACTTCGCAAATGTTCAAATGGTTGCTAAATTCGAATTCAGCTCCAAAAACTAGCCCAGAAACATGTAAACTCGAAAAAGTGAACCGAGGTCACCAAAGGTCAATGACCTGACCTGACCTTCAGGTGACCTTGACACCCCGCCTAATGCATGGGAGCAACATCAAATCACATGTTTGAACGTTTGAAACCACGAAAAGCTTGCAAACCCGCGGCTAATGCGAGCCGACATACGCCGAATCGCGATTCCGGTCAAACATGGTCTCGGAAAAGAGGTCACAGGTCAAAGGTCATTTGGGTCAGGGTCATAAAATTTTCAGGGTAGGTGTAAAATTGATCAATGCGAGGGTACTGAAAGTTTCGTTGCGATCAGCCTCTTTTTACGCGAGTTATTTGCGAAAAACCTTGGGGGGGGGGTGCATCACCATTCACCACCCCCTCCTCCTCCCCTGTGCCGGCGAGGGTTAAACTACTCAGTGATCTATCCATGCATGTACCGCCGCTTTATTTAGTCATACATTTATTTAGTTCACGTCCCAATTAGATCCGTTCCACTCAAGTGTGGCTATTCCAGAGGCAGGCGCAATATGTCAAAGTAGAAACCGCTCACTGTTGGTCACTTATGCTAAAGTACAGGCACACGCACCAATTCACGCCCATTCCCACTCCGCCATAGACGTGTCATGGAGAGTCGGCGCTGCTGGCAGCCAGCCCAGCTGCGACTGGCGCACGCTGCTTGTTTGTCTTTGTTTTGTTGGGTTAGGCTCGGTCTGACAAGACCATTTCAGAGCCGGACGAATGATAGGAAATAGGGGGAGACATTGGTCTGGGCAAACGCCCTACAGAGTCGCCGGGGCTGAGCCCGTCCGAATGGACAGGCCGACCAGCCCCCCCCCCCCCAAGGTTACTGACTGCACCCGGCTACGGGGTCGCGCTCCCTCGGGAGCAGCGGTGCCGCTCCAAGGGAACAGCCCGCATGAGATAAAGGTACCTGCCCAGCCCGGAGTGGGTGTTTCGGCGTGGAGGAGCAGGATTTCAGTATCCTGATTCCTGAGGATGGAAACGACGGAACGGAGGAGCACGCTGCTCCAAACCTCCCCTTTACCGCCGCGAGT